TTGTCATTGCTTCTTTCTTTCCAATTTGGATGCCTTTTATTTGCATTTCTTGCCTCATCTCTGTGCCTGGGATTTTCAGAACTGTATTGAATAGAAGTGGTGAGAGTGGGCATCCTTATCTTGTTCTTGATCTTAGAGGAAAAGCTTTCAGTTTTTCACCTTTGAATATGATGTTAATTGTGGACTTTTCCTGTATGATCTGATTTTGTCCCTTTTTTTAAAAGGTGTAAATGCCATCATTTAATACACTTTTACCTTTGAGTGTGTGTAAACTAAAGAATATTATTGACAGATTAGAATATAAAGAAGTAATAAGCCAAACAGGCAACTCATTAAAATTAAGTAAGACACTGAGCACTTGCACTTGCATCAAAGAGCCACTATTTATTTCCTGGGAAAGCTAATTTATGGAGAATTTGGTTGGTTTCTGATCCCATTGCAGTCTGACTTTATTGCAGACAGACTTCTTGGCTGTCTTGAAGATAATTAACTAGTGACCAGTCAGTTGCAAAACCAGCAGTCTTTTCTCAAATGACTCCTTCTTAATTTCTCTGTAGCATTTGGCACTGCAGTAGCCCCTCCTTATCTGTAGTTTCTCTTTCTGCGGTTTCAGTTACCTGTTGTCAGCTGTGGTCTGAAAATATTAAACAGAAAATTCCAGAAACAAAGAATTCATAGTTCATTGTATGTTCTTCCGAGTAGTGCGATGAAATTGCATGTTTTTGCTCCATCCTTCCCAGGACATGAATCGTCCCTTTGTGCTGTGTGTCCCACCTGTTAGTCAGTTAATATCCATCTGGGTTATCAAATTGACTGTCATGGTATTACAGTGAACACATGAGAATGTGTTCAAGTAACCCCCACCCTTTTTTTTTTTTTGGCCATGTCACATAACTTGCAGAATTTTAGTTCCCTGGCCAGGGATTGAACCAGGGCCACAGCAGTGAAAGCTCCAAGTCCTAACCACTGAACGACCAGAGAATTACCAAGTAACTCTTATTTACTTAAAAATGGACCCAAAGCACAAGAGTGGTGATGCTGGCAAGTCACATAGGCCGAAGAGAAGCTTTAAAGTGCTTCCTTTAAGTGAAAAGTTGAAACTTTTCTACTTAATAAGGAAAGAAAACATGCTGATGTTGCTAATATGTTTGGTAAGAATGAATCTTGTATCCGTGAAATTGTGAAGAAGGAAAAAGAAATTCTGTTAGTTTTCCTGTTGCATCTCAAAACTGCAGAAGTCATGGCCAAGTACACGTTAAGTGCTTAAAGATGGAAAAGGCATTAACATTTGTACAGTAAGATATTTTGAGAAAGAGAGAGACCACATTCATATAACATTTATTACAATATGTTGTTTATGATTTTTCTTTTTATTATTGATTATTATTGTTAATCTTCTATTATGCCTAATTTGTAAATTAAACTGTATCATAGACTTGTATGTATAGGAAAAAAACACATGCGGTTTCAGATGTCCACTGGGGGTCTTGGAACTTATCCCTCATGGATAAAGGGGGAGACTACTGGGTTGGTCAGACCTTCTTCTTGTTTGCTCACTCAGTTTTTATGTCCTTGTGGTTCTCCCACCACTTTGATTGTTCTTCCGGGCATCATAATTCCTCATCCTTCCCTCACTTTGTAAATGTGCAAATCCTTTGAGGTTCTGTTTCTCTTCCATCTCTTTTCTCACTTTGTGTTTGCTCTCAGTGATCTCATTGACCGTTGTGGCTTCAGTCCTTGTTGGCATGCAGTTGATTCACAAATCTGCCTTTCCTCTTAGATTACAGTTCCTTCTCTGATTGTCTTCAGATGACATAAATATCTTAGCAGAACTGCAGGTTGAAGTCACAGAATTGAGCACTTCATCTTCTTTCTCCCTTGTTTTTTTCCTCTTCCTCCTGTGGCTCTTCCCCAGACGTGGTTGGTGTGCTGCCCCTGCTGTGCCTTCGCTCATGCAATCTCCTTTCCTATCCTTTGCAGTACTGTTCCTTCTACTGTTTCACTGTGCTTTGAAGTCTGCCCCTAATACTGTCTTTTCTGCAAAGTGCTGATCTGGGCTGTAGATGACCTGGCTGTTCTTTGCTCTAAAATGGGGGGTTTCCTAAGACTATTTATTTATTGAAATTATAAAGCTCTTTGTGATTTCTGTCTGTGTTTGTTTTTCTAGCCATAAATCTGGCCACTCCCTCTCAGGAAGTCTAATTGACCACATGATCCACATAGAATCACTTCTTGTTCCTCGGAGCAGAGCTTTGTGCTTCCATGCATATGTCATTTCCCCTGCTGGCGTGTCTTCCACTTAAGTGCTTTTTAGGGTTGTGGGTGTTTAGAGTTGATAAAGTGGCCTTTGAGACTAGTCCTGTAGAGAAGTCTTCCATCATATAGAGTCCTCCGTCTACTGAGTTCTATAAGCAGTTAGGCATAGAAAAAAGGGATGGAATGTGAGCTTTGATTTAAACTCCAGTCTTGATATTTACTAGTCATGTAAACTTGGTACCCAATTTTCCTGAATGTGTTTCCTGATCTGTAAAATGAGGATGATATTTAACCTTTATGGGGCCAACACAAAATTTAAATGAGAAACTGCATATAAAATGCCAAGCATATGCTAAGTCCTCAATAAATGGTGTTAAAGAAAAAAAAAAAAGAAGAAATGAAAAGGGAAGAAAAGAGAAGCAGCAGCTGCTACTTTCCCTTCTTGGGGTCATTTGTGTATACTGGGGGCATGGGAAACGGTGTCAGACGGAGTCTTGGTGCCGAAGGCAGAGCACAAAGGATATCTTCTTAATCTTGGGAAACTGGTTTGCCAACCACAAAGAGAAACCTCTTCCTGCAGCCAACTAGTGACTTCTTCCTTATATTATACACACTTTGTTCATCTCTATCTCTAAACAGAATTTCTTTGCTCATGTTTCCATACTGTCTCCAGTATGGCTTTAAAATGCAGCTTGTGTATGTTGCTCCCTCCCACTCCTCCAGTACAGATAAATCCTAACTCTTTACCCTGAATTATATATATGGCTCTTCATGATCTGATCTTCACTCTCTCTCTAGCCTAGTCTTTCACCGTGCCACATACAGTGGGCATTTTTTTTTTTTTTTCCTGATTGTCCAGTATCTGAATTCTTTTCTGTGTCTGGAAGGAGGACAGGACCTGTCTCATATCTCACATATTGAGTTTAGATACTCATTTTCCCTGCTTCCTGGCAGCTCGGGCATAGACATGTGACCCAATGTGACTCTGACCCTGCAGTGAGTGACATGGAAGATCAAGTACTGGATCAGTGGCAACAGTGATGGCTTCCTGTTATACTGACCATGGTGTCTCCACCTGCTGGTACCACGAGAAGTTTCAGCTGCAGTTCTGACTGTCTAGCCTGGATTGTTAATGGCTTAGTTTCAGAGTCTAGATGTTTTAGCCTTTGTGTTAGATCTTTGAGGTTACCCATTGCTTTTCCAATACATTCCTTATCTGTTTAAAGAAACTCAAGATAGTTTCTGTGATTTGCACTTAAATGAAGAGCCTGACTTATACCACCCTCATTACCAAGTAGCCCATTCACATTAATCTTCTGCAGTTCTAAACTGACCATGGTTGTGTCCACCTCTGGGCTGTCTCACATTCTGTTCTACCTGTAACAGTCTTCGTTTTCAAACTGTTTGACTCTTGATGGTCCTTTGGGACTCAGCTCTGTCACCTTTTCTGTAAATCTTTCCCCAGTTCTTAAGATTGGGTTGTTAGCTCCTCAGTGTTCCCACAGAAGCCTCTGTTTACATCTGTGTAATACTTACCACACTATATTGTGATTGTCTTGACATTCCTTGGAGACAAGGGCTAGCAGTATTGAGTTGGCCAAAAAGTTCATTAGGGTTTTTCTTCAGGCTCTTTTGGGAAAACTCGAACAAACTTTTTGTCCAACATAAAATATTCAGTATCTCTGTGATGTCCCTGGCAGATAATGACTACTGTCTAAATTTTATCAGTTGAATGAGTAAAAACTATTGAATCATACACTGTGTTATGTTAAGATTTGTCTGTTTGCATGTCTGTTTTTCATAATAAACTATGACTGTTCTCAGAGCAGGGACCAAGTTATTCTTCATCTTTATATCCTTAATTTTTAAAAACCTATTTCTTTATTTCTTTGTTTGGCTGTGCTGGATCTTTAGTTGCGACACATGGGATGTAATTCCCTGACCAGGGATCAAACCCAGGCCCCCTGCATTGGGAGCACAGAGTCTTAGCCATTCGACCACTAGAGTCGTTTCTTTATATCCTTCTGTAGGTTAGTAGTTGGCTCATTTGTGCTTGCGTGCCAAGTCACTTCATTCGTGTCCAATTCTTTTCAGTCCCACAGACTATAGCCCACCAGGCTCCTCTGTCCATGGGATTCTCCAGGCAAGAGTACTGGAGTGGGTTACCATTCCCTTTTTCAGGGGAGCTTCCTGACCTGGAGATTGAACCCAGGTCTCCTGCGTTGCAGGCAGATTCTTCACCATCTGAGCCACCGGGGAAGCGTACCAGTAGACCCTGAGGGAATGTTGAATTCATGATTGAATGACCGAGTGGCAGAGCTGTCTTTTTAGAATTTCAGTTAAATAGTTTTTCCCAAGAGAAAGTATCTTCTTTGACCATATAGGTAAGAATAATATATGCATGTAGCTCATATTGAATAACTGACATTCTTAACTCCTATACCACGATTGGTAGTCTGTTGAGAAGATAATATTTATACATGAAAAAACTACTTGACAAGCTAGTATTTCATGTGCCAAGTGAGTCACATGAGCAGGTGTTACTTCAGTGTCAGGCCCAATATAACATTCTTAATTGAACCTTTGAAAGTGTGGCGCCTAAGCAACTACTTAGGAAATGGTTATTGGTTAACTGGATTGATTAAAATGGAAGCCTGTAGTAGGCTTTGTCTTTCTGTTTTACTTGGTTTACATGCTGCTTATTTTGGACTGATTCATCGGAATTTTTCCTCATTTGTTTTTAGGTCCAAGACAACTTTGACAAGATTGAATTCAATAGGATGTGTTGGACCCTCTGTGTCAAAAAAAATCTCACAAAGAATCCCCTGTTCATTACGGAAGAAGATGCATTTAAAATATGGGTTATTTTCAACTTTCTGTCTGAGGACAAGTACCCACTAATCATTGTGCCAGAAGAGGTAAGGTGTGGCTCTGGGAGCTTTATGTGGCTATCTTAGCATCTAGTAGCTCTAGCTTGGGGGTGTCTGTGTTAATTCATGTAGATATGGAAGGAGGCCCTATGCTAGTGTTTTTGGATCAGAGGCAAAAAAGCGTGGACCCAAAAAAGTCCCAGACTTAGTAATTTGAGGTCATGCAGTAACTCTGGATATTTACAGGCAGGGTGGGGTTCTTCCTCTTTAAGCTGTTCTAATTATAGACAAATCCATTCTCATGTTCAAAGAGTCTTTTATTCAGTACAAGTCACAACATAATTTTCTGTCTACTTACATGTTAGCTGCAGGATACTATATGGGAAACACATAGGATCCAGAATGTTATTCCCAAGGCTCATTTATGTGAGAAAATACTATTCCTGTGTCAAAGTCAAGGATGGATACTTTTTTAAAGCCATACTTTGCAAAGTAAATTGAAAAGGACATTGGCTTGTTCTGTTGTGGATTATTTTCCCTGAGCTTCTGAAGGTGGGGAAAGGAGCAGGGAATGCAGGAGTAAGGCTCTGTGCTGTCTTATTGCCCTAAAAATGATACATATATGCTTATTGCAGTTGGAAATTTAGAAAAGACTAATAATATCAGATTAATCAGCTGTAGTCTTCCCCTTAAAAAAAGAGTCATCTGTAATCCTCCAACATTGGACAATGTTATTTAACCTCTTGAATTTTAATTTCCTCATCTATAAAATAGAGCTCTTAAAAATGTTTATTCTAAGGGTTGTGAGGCTTCATATTTAAAGAACTTAGTTCAGTAAGTGAAACAAGTCAGGGAAAGATGGATATGTATGATTTCATGCATATGTGGAATATAAACAAAATAATTAACCAAACCAAACAAAAACATGTAGATGCAGGGAGCAGAGTAGTGGTTATCAGAGGGGTAGTGGGGGTGGGGATGGTAAAATGAATAAAAAGGGTCAACTATATCGTGATGGATGGAAACTAAATTTTTGGTGGTGAGAATACTGTAATGCATATAGATGTAGAAATACAATGTTGTATACAAGAAACTTATGTAATGTTATAAACCAGTGTTACCTCAATAAAAAAATCTAAAAAAATAATAATTAAATTGTGACTAGGGGAAAAAATAAATAAAGGAGTTAGATCAGTGCCAAGCACATGATATGTATTTAGTAAATATGTTAGCTCCTGTGACTACTGTTATTGCATACATTTTTACATTTTTGCACACTAGTCTGCTGCTTTCTTTCCACAGTTTCAGCAGTGGAATTCTAAGGCCTAAAAAATGTATGCTTTTAGTGTATTAGATAAACGAGGCAGAACTGCCCTTTCAGAAGGCTATACCAATTTATATACCCACCACTAGTGATCAAGCATGCCCATTATTATCCACTCTGCCAGCATGGAGTCCAGTCTGTGATTTATTTCTGTGATTTATGTTCATGTTAGGAAAATCTGTTTAAAAGTTTACACTGCAATATTTTTTCAAATCAGCAAGTATTTATTGACTGGCAACAATAAATGAGGCAATAAGAGGAATCTGAAGTGAAAAAGATGACTTCCTGCCTTCAAGAAATTTGCAGTCTGCTCAAGCAAAAGAAAGTCAAGTGCAATTCAAAGCAAATAGACAACCTGTTATAAGAGAGATCAAATGCCATGTAAATACAGAGAAGGGAAAGATTTATTCCAGTTTGGGAGAAGTCAGGGATCAGGGAAGTCTTTTTTAAGAGAGGCAATAGAATGCAGTGGTTAAAAGGAGCATCTTAAACTTTTTCAGTGAAGGCTAGACAGAAAATATTTGAGACTTTGTGGGCTTTCTGACCATATTGTCTGTGTTGTAGCTACTCAACTCTGCTGTTAATAGCATGAAAGCAGCCACAAGACAGTATGTTGCTTCAATAAAACTTTTATTTATGGATGTTGAAATTTGAATTTCATATAATTTTCATGGACCACGAAGTATTATTATACTTTTGATTCCCCCCCTGCAACCACTTAAAAATGTGAAAACTGCTCTTAGAGCAAGGGTGTATAAAAACAGGCTGAGAGTCAGATTTGGCTCATAGGGTAGATTTGACTCATGGGCTGTAATTTAGTGTTCCCTGGTTAAGAGCAGAGATCTGGAGTCAGATGTCTTGAATTTGAATTCTAGCTTCATCACTGCTTACTAGCTGTGCGACCTTGCGCAATTTATTTAATTTTTGCTACAGTTTCCACCACTGTAAACTAAGGCTAATGCTACTATCTACTTCCTACTGTTTTTGTGACGATGAAATGAGAAGAATGCCTGGCCCTTAGGAAGTGCTCATTGTGTTAGCTGTTATATTTAGGGGGGAAATGACACTTATGCTGGGGCTTAAAAGATGGAAGAGTTTTGACTAATGGAAAAAGCAAAGGAGAAGACTTCTGGGTGGAAGGGACAGAGGGCGAGGTCATGTGAGGCAGGAAAGCAAGGGAAGAGCATGTCTGAGATGAGTGAGGTATCTCACTTGGCCAAATTGCCAGTCTTCGAAGTAGCTGGACTGACTGATTTAAGCCAGAAAGGTAATTTTAAAAATGTTGGGTAGCTTATAGAATGGCTATTATGGCTGAAAACCAGGTGTGGAGGCTGTGCAGTGAGGAACCACAGGGAGACTTTATTGTATTGTGGAATATTTCTGACCCTGCACACTGGTGCCCAGGAACTCAGATCTTTCTGCAACTGTTCTTGCTACCATGGAGAGCTTTCTATGCCTACTTCCCAATCCCAGGGCGTGATGCATCTGATCGTTATGATCTAGGTCAGGTGCCATGAACTAGCTGCAGAGGAGGCTTGAAAAGGGCCCATTTGTGTTTAGCGTCCACATTGGGATTCCCCAGACACAAGGGGGTTAGCATTGATTTCATCAGCGTGCCCGCTGGCTTCTCCCATCCTGGACTGGTCTGTTTACCTGGTCATTCTTTTGGTCATGGGCAAGATCAGACTCTGGGGTCAGTTACTTCAGCGCCCAGCCTACTGGTTTTTTCCAAAGACTGAGAGTTCTGACATTGGCAATTTCAGTACGCCCTGGACAACTCCATTTGTGACCCTGGAGAACAGAGGTACCTGAAACGTGTCATTTTGAAGACTACTCATTTAGGATTTTACTTTGAACTTTCCTCACTAATAAGGTTACTAATGAAATGATACTCCCAACAACAACTATTGCTACTAAGCCCCTGTAGAGATAAAAGTAGATCAGTGATAAGAGCTTTTATGCATTATTTTTAGTTCATAGAATGAATGAGTGACTGATTCATGCCCAGAGCTTAATTATGTGAGGGTTTGGTGGCTGTCACTCTGATCTTTTGTGTGCCTTCATTAGTTTTCATGGTCAGAAAGAGGCAGGCCTGCTATATGTAAGCCAAGTTTTACTACTTCTGTCAGAGAGCTGGTAGGGAGAGTTATTTTAAAAAATTAATAGCATCCTTTCCCTATAAAACCAGACCACCTTACTTGCCTCCTAAGAAATCTGGATGCAGCTCAGGAAGCAACAGTTAGAACCGGACATGGAACAAAAGACTGGTTCAAAATTGGGAAAGGAGTACATTAAGGCTGTATGTTGTCACCCTGCTCATTTTACTTATATGTACAGTACATCATGCAAAATGATGGGCTGAATGAATCACAAGCTAGAATCAAGATTTCAGGGAGAAATATCAATAACCTCAGATATGCAGACAACACCACCCTTATGGCAGAAAGCAAAGAGGAACTAAAGAGCCTGTTGATGAAAGTAAAAGAGAGTGAAAAAGCTGGCTTAAAACTCAACATTCCAAAACCTAAGACCATGGCATCCAGTCCCATCACTTCATGGCACACATATGGAAAACAATGGACACAGTGACAGACTTTATTTTCTTAAGCTCCAAAATCACTGCAGATGGTGACTGCAGCCATGAAGTTAAAAGACACTTGCTCCTTGGAAGAAAAGCTATGACCAACCTGGACAGCAGATTAAACAGCAGAGACATTACTTAGCCAACCAAGGTCCGTCTAGTCAAAGCTATGGTTTTTCCAGTAGTCATGTATGGATGTGAGAGTTGGACCATAAAGGTGAGTGTCAAAGAACTGATGCTTTTGAACTGTGGTGTTAGAGAAGACTCTTGAGAGTCCCTTGGACAACAGGGAAACAAAACCAGTCAATCCTAAAGGAAATCAGTCCTGAATATTCATTGGAAAGACTGATGCTGAAGCTGAAGCTCCAGTACTCTGGCCAGCTGATGTGAAGAACTGACTCACTGGATTAAGACCTTGGTGCTGGGAGAGATTGAAGGCAGGAGGAGAAGGGGACGACAGAGGATAAAATGGTTGGATGGTATCACCAACTCAGGGGACATGAATTTGATCAAGCTCAGGGAGTTGGTGATGGACAGGGAAGCCTGGCGTGCTGTACTCCATGGGGTCACAGAGTTAGATACGACTGAGTGACTGAACTGAACTTTCCCTATAGATAGTATCTTTCCCCTGGTAGCTCAGATAGTAAAGAATCTGCCTGCAATTTGATCCCTGGGTTAGGAAGATCCCCTGGAGAAATGAATGTCAACCCACTCCAGTATTCTTGCCTGGAGAATTCCATGGATAAGGGAGCCTGGTGGGCTGTAGTCCATGGGCTCACAGAGGGTCGGACATGACTAAGCAACTAACACTTTCACTTTTCCTATAAAATACCTGCTCTTTTTTTTCAGTTAACATTATGCTGTAAACATGTCATTGAAAATTAATAAGTGTAATTTTAATAACTAAAAAAGGGGGGGTTAGGTGCTGGGCAGTGAAAATGAATGACACATGTCCTTTTTAACTGGAGCATGATGTCTGTGCAGGGACAGAGACAACTTTCAGGTCTGGGCAACTGGGAAGAAATATAGTGTAGTTGTTTAAAGCGTGGTCTTTCAGATCAGACTGCCTGATTTAAATCCCTGCTTGACCACCTTTTGGCTCTGTGACCATGAACAGATTACTTAGTCTCCCTGTTTGCTTCC